TTTTTTGGAATGTAAGATCGAATGATGCACATATGTATACATATATGTAGGTACATAATTTAAATACATACATAAACAGTACATTAATAATTTCTGTGTCTACGTTCATACAAAAAAAAAGAAAAGAAAAGCAACCAAAAACAAAAACAAGTAATTTTTAAGCAAAAACAAAACCGACTTCAATTCTCATATAAAAATTTAAGATTATCGGTAATTTATTCATAATTCAATGATCGGATTTTAACCAAATTAATATGGAATTTATTGAAATCGGTTAACGTCCAAAGTTATGCGGTAACATACAAAAACAAAAATATTCCAACGAATTGATAATCTTTTCCTTCCTTTTCGGTTAAAAAAAAGAAAATCCACCTCGGCCAACCTTAACTATGCCACTCGATAGCTACACACAGAAAATACATTCTTTGATGCAAGGAAAAAAGTATATTATTCTAAGGAAATATTACCTTGAAATGGCTCCAAAGACATGGGTGCCTTAATATAAGTGAACGATTTGCCTCAATTTAAGGAAAACACAATTCCTTAGTTTTCAGTACTATTTTCTTTCTTCTTAGGAAAAGGTAAGTTGCCTTGAAAGGGTTAAGTATGTAATTTTCTATACTGAGGGGGCCAAAATGGAGTGCGGTCTGGGTGCGGGGGTGTTCTCCGAAGCGTTGAACGTCTCTCTCTCGTTCCAACTACCGAACTTTGCTAGCATCTTCCAAGCCGAAGTACTGGGAATCGTAAGGGCCTGTAAAGAATTATAGAGAAGCTGCGTGGGAATGCGATAAGCATATATCTTCTCAGATACCCAGATGGCACTTCTAGCACTTGCCTCATCGGTAAAAAAAAATGCTCGACGGCCGAGTTAATATTCATCTCCCTCATCTGGGTTCCCGGTTATAGGAACATACACAGAAATGAGAGGGCTAACGAGTTGGCTAAGGCCGGAGCATCTCTTGATGAATCCGAAGCAGAGACAATATACCGTCCACTCGGACTCATCAAAAGGTAACTGCATTTGCAAATCGTATGAATGGCTGCTGAACGTTGGAAAAACCTTCCAACCTGCAAAAATGCGAAGAACATATGGCCGCATTATGAAAAGCCAAAGACAGAAGAACTTCTCAAGAGGTCAAGGAAAGATATAGTCAAATTAACACCCACGATAATGGGACATTGGCCCATTGGCGAACATGCGGCTAAAATGGGCCTTCCGTACAACGCTCGGTGCCGTAGCTGTGAGGGAAGTAAGGAAACACTAACTGCACTGGCGCGAGGGAGTTTTGCCATCCAAAATCTTAAGAGAGATCTCCAAACGCACCATTACTAGCCTAAATAGGCTCATCGAAAATCCAAATGGTTTGACGAAACCGAATCATGAAAGCAGAAAAAAATCAAGGATCCCAGAGAAAGCATATCAAAATAGTGTTATAAGTACTTATTGGGTCCTGGGCTCGTGCCCAGGCGACGCTTTTACCAACAAACTAAGTTTGCAATTGGAACACAAAATTTCGGAAACGCAAGACAAATCATTCAAAAATAGTTCAGCTTAATTAAAAAATTTCTACCTTTTATTCCCTTGATTCAATAAGTTTATAAAAGCACTTGAAACTTTGTGTTGATAAAATAATTTAGTAAACAATACCAAGAAAAACATATCTACAGACTAGGGCTGTGCGATTAATTGATTATTCAAAATTTTAATTAATCATAAAGTAAATAACTCAATTATTCGATTAATTGGAAATTATGATTACTCAAAAGTTCAGTTACTCGAGTAATCAAGATTTTGATTAACCAAAAAAAAAATATTTGAGTAATTTGCTTTATGATTAATCAACATTATGAATAAAATGAGTAATCAACATTTCAAAGTACTATTTACATACATACATATCAAGCAGTTGAAGTTCCTTGATACTTTGAAAAAAAACGTTTCTGTTTTCAAAAATTAAAATGAGATACATACATACATACATATTTTTTTCATATACAGAATATAAAAAAGAAAATAGGCATTTTCCAAAGCAAACTCTTTTAACGAGCAAAATTAATTTTTTTGAGTAATCATATTTCTAGTAACTCGATTAATCATCGTTTTGAGTAATCAAAATCTTGATTACTCGAGTAATTGATTAACCGAATAACTGATTAACCAACTTGCTCGAGTAACCCAATAATCGCACAGCCCTACTACAGACATACATACATAATTGTTTGCTTGTGCCCATTTTTTGTTGCCACAATTGTTTCGTTCTTAAAATTTTCGGTAAAAACAAGCGTCGATGAAATATGAAGCTAATGATTGCATAGCCGAAAAATTACTGTTTATGACCTTAGCCATAGGCTTGAATAAATGAAACTTCAAAAATCTTGTCGGTGAGGTAAAGGGTTGCCAGACGTACCCCATTGGGGGGGGACATACCCCATTTTGACTTTTTGTCCCCTTGCTATGGAAGGCTGCGTAGGTCCCCCATTTTTGCCCGAAATCATCACATTTCGCTTAAAGCGTGTTTGCATTGTTCAACTTTCACAGGCGATTATTAGTTGAATCAAAGTTTAACGAAAAGTACCATTTTTATTTGAAAACATTCGGACGCCACATATATAAAGCTGAATATGTACACATATATACATAAATGTACGTACACTAGCGATAAAAACTGAGTGCGTGTTGATTTTTTTAAATATCAAAATACAGTGTTTTTTAAGTTAATTTTTTTACTTCTTAAAAAATATGTTTCATGCTTGAGACAAAACCATATACATACATCAATCAAACGTGCAAACTTAATAAAATTTTTGGAAAAATGCAACAAATTTCCATTAAAATTTTTAATTTTTTAATCAGAATTCTTGGATATGCAGTTACATGCCTAATGAAATTTTAGTAAAATGAGTACAAGTTTTAAACGGCGGTTTTTTCATATAAGAAGTGCAATTTATAAAAAATGGCGCTGATTTGTTTAATTTTTTTTTTGCAAATGGTCTTGCGCATTTTCTTCAAATTCATATTTGTATGGAAAAAACCCATCAGCAAAAAAATATCAAAAATCCACACGATTTTTAGTCGCGTAAAATTTGCACTTATTTTACTAAAATTTCATGAACCATATAACTGCATATTCAACGAGTTCAGATTAAAAAGTCCAAAATTTGTATGGAAATTTGTTCCATTTTTCTAGAGGTTGTATTATCTAAGTTTAA